GCTCTTTGATGGTCCCAACTGACCAGCACCAAAGTCTCCTTCTCGTATTGTAGACTGCACTGGCTGCAAAGCTAACGGCGTTGTGGCTGCTGCGCATTCTCGTCCTGCATCGCACCCGCAATCCACTTGTATTCTGCTGTATCACTAAAACACAGTAAGCTATGCCTCCTACGCCATACCGGCACTTGTGTCTTATATAACCAACCAGCCCTTTGCGGTACCAAAAAGAATACCGTCAACGCTATAGACACCACTCATGCCTGCCCCTTCAGCCATGCTACGACCAACGGAGAATGGCGAGCGATATGAGCTCACCAGTCCAACCGAGATGCCCAAAGCCGGTGCATTTCTTTGGAATCAGCGTATGATGATCCAGGTGACTTGTCGTGGATTCGCGACCGCCCAGTACATGCAACCCGAACCCGCCAAATACGCCTATGCACCAAACCTCGAAGCAAAGACGTTTATGCAACCCGAGCAAAATTACTACGCACATCATCCAGGCCGCTTTGTTTACATCAAAGACGAAGAGACTGGCGATCTCTTTTCGGCTCCATATGAGCCAGTCAGAGCAAAGCCAGATCGATTCGTCTTCAATGTTGGCAAGAGTGACATCAAATGGACTGTCGAGAAACTTGGTGTTCGCGTCGACATGACGTTTCTTCTTCCCACAGATCATGTTGCTGAGCTATGGAGTATCAAAGTCACCAACATCTCCGGCCGTGACCGGAAACTAAGTATTTACCCTTACTTTCCTCTTGGATACATGTCCTGGATGAACCAAGAAGCACAATGGGACGAAAATGTTGGAGGTATTGTTGGCAGTTGTAAAACGCCATACCAGAAAGCAGAAGATTATCCAAAGACAAAATATCTCAAGGACAAGACGTATTTCCTTTGTGAAACAGCACCAGTAGCGTGGGAAGCCAGACAAGAGTCGTTCGAGGGTGAGGGAGGACTACAATCGCCATCATCGATATTGGAGCCGGAACTTTCAAAAAGCGATGCTCGTTACGAAACGCCAACCGCAGCTGTGCAGTATCGAGCTCAACTCAAGGAGAACGAAAGCAAAGACTACCGATTCCTTTTTGGCCCTGCATACGACGAAGCTGAGATTCTGGAGATGCGTAAGACGTATCTCAGTAAGATTGCGTTCGCCCAAGCCACCAAAGACTACGAAGACTACATTCAGCGAGGTAGCGGCTGCATTCGTTTGGAAACCCCAGACAAGGATCTTGACAACTTGGTCAACAACTGGCTGCCGCGGCAGCTTTACTACCACGGCGATGTGAACCGTCTGACGACCGACCCGCAAACGCGAAATTATCTACAAGACAACATGGGCATGAGCTTCATCAAGCCCGAAGTAGCTCGGAAAGCAATTCTGACCGCAGTGGGCCAACAAGAAAAGAACGGCTCGATGCCAGATGGTATCCTGCTAGCCAAAGGCGCAGTCCTCAAATACATCAACCAAATCCCTCACACCGACCACTGCGTCTGGCTCCCAATTGCTCTCGAAATCTACCTAAACGAGACAGGCGACTACACCATTCTGGACGAAAAAGTCAGCAGCATGTACGGCGACACCTACACCGTTTTCGAGCGCTTCAGCCGCGCAATGGACTGGCTCCTCTCCTCCAACGCCCGCGATGACCGCGGACTCTCCTACATCGCCCAAGGCGACTGGTGCGACCCCATGAACATGGTCGGACCCAAGGGCATCGGCGTCTCCGGCTGGCTCACCGTCGCAACCGCCTACGCCGTGAACCTCTGGGCGCAAATCTGCGACGACGCCTCCAAACCCGACATTGCAAAGAAGTACCGCGCCGGCGCCGAAAAAGTAAATCAGTCTGCCAACGAGCATCTCTGGGACGGCGACTGGTACGCGCGTGGTATCACAGATGACAATGTTACGTTTGGAATCAAAGACGACAAGGAAGGTCGTATCTGGTTGAATCCCCAGGCCTGGTCGATTCTCGGGGGTGCAGCGTCGCAGGAGCAGATTTCGAAGATGCTCCCGCAGATTGACGAGCAGCTTACCACGCCATACGGCGTCGTCATGTTCGGCCCGCCATTCACAGCCATGCGCGAAGATGTCGGTCGCGTGACGCAAAAGTACCCAGGACAAGGTGAAAACGGATCCATATACAACCATGCTGCCGCCTTTTACGCATGGGCTCTATACACGATTGGCGACGTCGATCGCGCGTATAGCACCCTCCGCGCTATGATTCCGGGACCCGACGAGCAGGATTTGATTCGAAGGGGTCAACTTCCTATTTTCATTCCCAATTACTATCGTGGTGGGTACGGGATTAAGCATCTGGATCGTACGGCGGGCCGCTCGAGTCAGCTGTTCAACACGGGAACTGTGAGTTGGGCGTATCGATGCGTCATTGAGGGGTTGTGTGGCTTGCGGGGTGTCAAGGAGGGATTGAAGATTGAACCCAAGTTTCCGAGTGAGTGGGATGAGATGAAGGTGAGGAGAGAGTTTAGGGGCGCGGTGTTTGATGTGCAGGTTAAGAGGGGGGGTGTGGACGGTGTGAAGGTGACGGTGGATGGGGAGAAGATTGCGGGTAATGTTATCAAGAATGTGGAGAAGGGGAGGACGTACAAGGTACAGGTTGAGGTGCCGAGGGCGAGCAAAAAGAAGTATGGGGTTTTGACGAATGGGCATGGGACGAATGGGACGAATGGGACCAAGTAGAAGTATGTGAGGGATTCGTAATTTTTTAGATGAGTTGACTACATTACGTTTTACGAATGACAAAAGTTTAGACAGCAAGTAGGACAGGATTAATCATGTTCTATTCAAAGCCGTGTCTTCCTCGCCCACCTGTTTATTGCGAGAAGAACATGGTTATGCTATTATCCCACGCACTATCCGCCACCTCCTCAACACTCAATCCCTTCAGCCCAGCCACCACAAGCGCCACCTTCTCCATACTACAACTCTCATTTCTTTCCTTAACCATATCCCCCAAACTGAACTTATCCTTCTTCTTACTCCCCCAACCCCACTTCGTCGCATTCTGCAAATAAGCCTTTGCAACCTCACTCGACGCTTGAATCTCGCCCCACGGCGCATCCGTCTCAATCTGCAGCTTCTCAAGCGGCACATGCCGAATCATCTCCAAACTATCTCTATCCCGGAACGCAAAATTGTTAACACTAACATGCAAGCCCATGCCAACGAGCTTTTGCATCTGCTGCGCAGTCCCCACAAACGAATGCACGAGGCCAGAGCGTAGGGGAAGCCGCTCCCAGTACGACTCGAGGATAGAAACGAAATCTCCAAAAGCAGCGCGACAGTGTAGGAACAAGGGTAACTTCCATCCCGCGTCCACAAGCATATCGAGCTGGCGCTTGAACACGCGAACTTGCACTTCTTTAGGGGCGGCAGCTAGCTTATCGTAATCGAGTCCTAGTTCTCCAAAAGCGGCCATGACATGCGGCTCTTGCTCCAAAGTCCGGGAAATAGTTTCGGAGACCGACGTATAGTATTTGTCGCCACCTTCGTCCGCTTCAACAGCATGATACGGATGGATGCCGATAGTAATTTTGCATTGCTCTGGCCGCTTGCGGGCGATGGCAATGTTGACTGGTACGTCAGCGGCGTACATGCCTGTCAACATTACTTTCTCGACTCCAGCGGCGAGAGCGCGGTCCAGGACAGCGTCGAAGTCGGGTTCATGGTATTGTTTGCCACGATAGAATCCAGTGAACTCCTTTGCTGTTGCTGTTACAGCGACCTATAGGTTGCGTCACTCCGGGTTACTGCTGTCGTGGTTGACGTGGGGAAAGGGGAGGTTGGGGCATACGTCTGCATATCGAAGTTTTCGTGCAGGTGCAGACGGTGCCTTTGTCGGGAAGCCATCGAGGAGAGATGACATTCTGGCGTCTAGCGATTGGGGGCTGTGGGGGTGCGCCTTTCCGGAGATGAGCAATGCCGTGTCGTTGTGGATGCAGATGAGAGAAAGATTCCGGGATACGTAGAGGTTGCGGCTCGAAGCGTCGGAAAGGGACCTTCCGCGTTCGGAATAATTTACGCTCTGGGCATTTCTTGGCTTATGAATCACGTCTTCGCGCCGTCTGAAACTATTTTCTAGTAGACCTTCTTCATGACTTTCTGTGGCCTTGTTTGCAATTTCATTAGGTAAATGAGTTTTGGTGTTAGAATTGCTGGTAAGAATCCATGTACACTGTAATTGAAGGGGTCGGACACCGACGGGACGCCTAAAGGTTCGGACAACACCCGGTGATAGCATACAATCGGGGTTAGTTTCAAACATGTCCTTGAAGAAGAGAAGCCTGTTGTTGTGGTAGGGTCTTGATTTTGGCTGCAGCAAAGGCACCGCAATAATCTGTAACCAAGTCATGGCCCAGAGGATTCGGCAGATAATCTGATGACCTACTATGTTCTCGTCTCGAGTAACCAGCACATATACCACGAGTGGATCGACAGAGCTAAGTGTAGCTAAAGCTATATTGCCCTTCCTCCAATGTCGCTCGTGGACTGTTAGTGTGCAGGTCTGGATAGAGCCAGCCGACAACGTAGAGTGTCGCAAGGCCTAGACTGCACCTTCCAAAATAAATCCGCAGATCAATCGCGACGATCTTTCCCTTAGCTCAATTGCCACTACAAATTCATAGGTCACAGCGATTGTGTCCATAGAGCCCTCTTCTATATTCATTCTTCACCTGCCAGAACGAACTCAAACCCCAACCATGGCCATTTGGTTTACGCAGTGCACTGCCAGGCTCAGAAGGTAGCCCGCCAGAATGTATTTCGGGATCAACTGACGTAATCTTGTATACACAGTACACTGCCAAAGTAGTTGTAGATCGACTAAAGCGAACGTGTATAAATTACCTTACAAACTGAGGTCCTTGGGCGTGCCTGGCATAAGGCTTTCATTTCGTTTTGTTATGCGGTATCAAGTCGTTACTGAACAGCCTCGAGACGAAGCGGGTTCATTCGTGAATATGAGCCTTTCCCCTCAGTACAGCTCATACACAATCCTCCGACGTGACGTCGTTAATCGTACGACTATGCAAGGACGCGGCTTGTGCCTGATCCATATTGGAGCGACCACCCTCATAAGGAAGTTCAGAATCTCAGCTGCCTTAATTGACTGCTCCGACGGAAATGCCAAGTGCGTGCCTGGTAAGTGTAAGTGAACTCATGATAACGACCACGTCGAGGGCCAGGCAACTATTTGGACGGTAAAACGCATGTAATCAGCGCAGCTCAAGGCTGCCCCTACTCCATAGTGGGGCACCGTTAAGCATTTGGGGGCTAGTACTACTTAAGCAGGCGTTTGCTGAGCTTGATCACGAGGCATGTCGGATGGAATAGGGTCGGTTCGCACATCTCCGGGCGTCGTCCTACCCAAAGCCATGATACTCTACGTATTTTTTGGTTCTCCAACGCCACAAATATATCAACTCTGGGTATGTCACCATCAGAATAAAAAGGCTGAATTCAGGAACGAACTTGAGAGGTTTGTATAAGATTTCGTGGTATCGCAATCAGGGTACGTGCGGGAATGCGTGCACAGATACCGGACAGGGCTACGGGTGATTGCTCCATCCAGCCGCCCCCCATCTCCCCTGCTCGCCGCGATCGCAATATTCCGCCCCGCTTTACTCTTTCCCCTTGATCGTCCCCCCCGTCCATTTTTCCTCGTCATTCCAATTGGTCCTATGTATACCTGTCGTATTACACATAGTCATACATTTTTGCCAGCAACTCCATACTGGACGAGCAAGTAATTAAAAAAAAAGTAAGCAACACGAGCTCTTACCATCACGCCATTTCAAAAGAAAAACCCAACAGCATTGCAATCACCGATTTACTCGTAGCCAGTAAAAGACAGGTGCAGGTGATTAGCTAAATGACTGAGCTGGTAATGATCGTCGTATACAAGATGGTTTAACGAGTATAGTAGTAGTCGCCCCCATGGCGACAACCTGAACAGCTTTTTGGCGACCCTCCACATATCGCCAATTCAAGCATACATACCGCTTAACATACTTTGCTAGTCTACCCACCCTTGCTTTCCCCCCCTTTCTAATCTTAATACACAAATCAAAGGGAATCTGACGTTTCTGACATTCGGCTGCTAGTCTCAAGTTTCACCAAGAGGGGAAACGTGCAAGACGATCGGCACTGCGAGGTTGGGTGGGGGTCGAGCCAATGACGCGCCGCCCCATGTCGGCGCTGCTATCTCACTAGGCGCGTTGTCGATATTGCAAGCGATAAAGGGCTTGGGACTTGGCAATCGGGACATATGTTTAATCGGGAAGGTAAAAATTCCAGAGGCGTGTATGGGCGTTTCTTTCTAGTCTGCGATTATGTCCATGCCGGGTTTATGAGCCTGAACCGCTTTGGCCCACATGACACACAGCCCTAACCGACATGTTAACTACTGCATATCTTCTATCATATCTCTACCTCTCCTTCCTGTTTGGATACTGGGGTAGTACGGTAGGGAGCTTCATGCGTTTTGTTGACTTTCCTGTTAAGATCAGCCGCATCGGCACTTAATTATACCCTAAGGCGAGTTGCCTTGTCAAGTGCCATTTGTGGAGCCGCTGTGTAGGCGAATGTCTTGTCAAATGCCTTTTGTGGTGTAACATGGTAGCAAAATGTCTTGTGAAGTTCCTTTTGGGGACTGCCTTTCCGATACTGTTGCAGCGTGTAGGAAACATCTTGCTGCCGATGAGGAAGGAGGCATTTCGTAGCCGCCAATGCAACCTTGTGCTCTATCTACGACCGACACTGGTAGATCGTGATGCAAGTGACAACGGTAAGAGAGTCGACCATGTATAAATATGAAGCTGTGTTCCTGTCCAATATCGATACTTCATCAGGATAGCAAGACAAGTCTTCTACAGCCATCCACCTTCACAACATCCACACTTGACTCTTGCGTGTTTCTTCCATAATCCTGACCATGGAGCTCACCAAATTCCTCGCTGCTCTCGCAGTCTTCCTGCCCATCGTCTATGGTGCCCCTACCGCCGCCGCCAACGACCTCCACCCCGAGATCCTGGCTGCCATGAAGCGCGACTTGGGCCTTGATGCCGACGCTGCTCGTGTCCGCGTTGCCCGCGAGATCCAGGCCACCGAGGTCATTGACCAGCTCCGCGCAAAGGCTGGCAGCGCCTTCGGCGGTGCCTGGCTCGTCGACGGCGAGATCAAGGTCGCCGTCACTGACGAGGCCTTGACCTCTGAGGTCACTGCTGCTGGTGCCACCGCCTTGGTCGTTGACACTCCCCTCGAGAAGCTCCAGGAGGCCCAGAAGGCCATCGACGCCCTCAACGTCCCAACCACCAAGCGCGCAGAGGAGGCTGCCAACGGAATTGCCTCCTACTATGTCGACGTTGCCGCCAACAAGCTTGTCTTCGAGGCCATTTCCAGCGGCACCGCTAAGGCTGAGGAGCTCGCCAAGAAGGTTGGCCTGACTGAGGCTGACTACGAGATCCGCACTGTTGAGGCGCTGCCCACTACCTTCGCCACTATCCGTGGTGGTGATGCCTACTACATTGGAGGCGGCCGATGCTCCGTCGGTTTCTCCGTCACCACTGGTTTCGTCTCTGCCGGCCACTGCGGTCGTGCCGGTACTGCTGCCACCACCAGCGGTGGTACTAACATTGGAACCTTCTCAGGCTCCGTCTTCCCCGGAAGCGGTGACTTCGCTTTCATCCGCGGTAGCAGCGGTAACACCTACCAGGGCAGGATCAACAACTACAACGGTGGTACTCTCCCCGTCTCTGGCAGCACCGCTTCTGCTGTCGGTGCCAGCATCTGCCGCTCCGGCTCCACCACTGGTGTCTTCTGCGGTACCGTCCGCTCCCTTGGCGCCACCGTCAACTACGCTGAGGGCAGTGTCACTGGTCTCACCCAGACCAACGTCTGCGCTGAGCCCGGTGACTCTGGCGGTTCTTTCTACTCTGGTGCTCAGGCCCAGGGTGTCACCTCCGGAGGATCTGGTGACTGCTCCCGTGGCGGAACCACCTACTTCCAGCCCGTCAACGAGATTCTCTCCACCTACGGCCTTACCCTTGTCCGTGGTTAAATAACTCTTTTCATGTCTATACTTGTTTATACCGCTGTTGGAAATGAATCATGTTCGCAGCCCACGCAATTTGTACATATTTCAATCTATCTATATCCATCTAAAAATGTGCCTGATGATTCTCGGTGAAGTCGTGAAGTCGTGATGCTTGGCTGCTTAGTGCTGTTTCAGGAAAGGTCAGTGTTGAAGTAAGAGTGTTTGAGAGAACGACGCCTCCACTTCGGGAGCTTTGATAACCCCCTTTAGAGTAGTGTCGGTGAGGTGGGTACAAAAACAGGGTCAGCACGACGGTTCGATTATAGTACGACAGTTGAGTGGCGTCCAACATCGCACGTGCGTTTCGCGGGTACCTGGCATGAACGAGACCATAGGCCTGTCTACGTTGCGCCATCCGACGCCCCACTTATATCACCCTTCATAGTCAGCAAGGTTGGTGTTCGTAAAGGGTTCAGCGCCTTACGAAATTGCATGTTAAGCTTCGAACAAGTGCTTGATCCTCGACAGGGTTTCGATAACTTCATGGAATATGAAGTATTCCAGCACGGCTGTGCATGTGTGAGTGTTTGGGACCGGTCGCTGCTAGTAAGATGCGCCGCCTCCCTGCGGTGCGATGGAGCCGATGACCCTTTCTCGGGACTAGTGCAATTTTTTTCGTTGACATGTTCTCGTCCCAAACTTCTTCTTCAGTAGCTTCATCGGTATGTGCTGCACCGAGTATCAAAGTGTCGCGCCTCATGCAAAGGCGCAGCCGTGTTCGTCAGTTCATGGCGGTGCTGTACGCGGCTCCCACATGGTGCGGAACCCACGCGTGAGCTAAGCCTGATTGCGCATAGTATACGCAAAATACGAATACGATCTTAGACCAATCACCAATCGTAGACCCACAATCAAGCAGGATTCATGCAGCCGCTATGTCTTTTTGGGGGTAGAAAATGCCATTTGTGGAGCAGGGCTACAGGCTAGATCGTATTTTTGACAGCTATCTTTCCAGTACGTACGGATAGAAGCGAATACGCATACGCGTATTCGTATCCTTGATCAGTCTTCTATGGGGCTTCTCATATGTATATATCGAGATGGCTTGGTCGAGATTTTACTTCATACATCTTTCTCTAGAGCTTTTCAGTGTTGCGATTTCTTTTCTATTCTCAGTCCGCTATCCTTTTCGACATCCTCTGCGAAGAACACGTTCAAATTATTTTACATCGATTTCTTGATTCCAGCGAATTTACCTAGATCAAAAAAGATTACCGACGCAATGGCCGACAATGGAGGAACGATCGACTTCAAATTGTATCGCTACAACCCTTCGATGGCTGCTGCTGTCATCTTCACCATCCTCTTTCTTCTCATATCAGGATTACATTTATACCAAATGTTCCGCACCCGGACGTGGATACTCATACCGTTTGTCATCGGCGGCTTCTGTAAGTTATCTTTGCAAGAATTATGCTGTAAGGTATCTGTGACCAACAGCTAATGTGTAACAGTCCAATTTGCTGGCTACATAGCAGTAGGTATTCATCAGAGCGCTCACAATGAAGTGCTAACACTGTGCCAATAGAGAACAATGTCCGCTGCCGAATCACCCAACTGGACAGTCGGTGCATACTCCGCTTCCACCATCCTACTCCTCGTCGCTCCCGCACTGTATGCCGCAAGCGTATATATGATGCTCGGTCGCATCATCCTCGTTACCGACGGCGAACACCGCTCGATCATCCCCAAGCGATGGCTCACAAAGATCTTTGTCGTAGGAGATGTCATTTCATTTCTGATGCAGGGCGCTGGTACGTTGTATACGCACTTTGATGAGTGCTCTCACGAAGAAAGAAAAAAGGTTAACCATCGCGGCCAACAGGTGGTGGCATAATGGCTAGCGGCACAATCAGCGCACTCCATACTGGCGAAAACATCATCATCGGCGGTCTCGTAGTTCAAATTCTCTTCTTCGGCTGCTTCATGGTGACGAGTGTGCTTTGGCACACTCGAATGGCCAAGAACCCTACAACCCGAATCCTCTCCGGATCTATACCGTGGGAGATGCAGCTTTATTCACTCTATGCCGCTAGCATGCTCATTCTTGTGCGATCAGTTTTTCGCCTGATTGAGTATGCGCAGGGCAACAATGGTTATCTGATCTCCCACGAAGTATTCCTTTACATCTTTGATTCGACCCTCATGTGGATTACTATGGCAATTCTGGCATGGATACATCCGAGTGAGATCACGGGGTTGCTGAAAGGCGAAAAGGGAGTCGCAGTGCGCCGTGGTGTGGAAGTATACGACCTGTGTTAGAAGTATTGATTGAGAACGGCCGGATCGAGACCAAAATCGGATTGGATTCCAGAAGAGCACAACAATATGCCTTAGACTCAGTAATTGATGGGCAAAGAATCTTGACATGGCCGGGAGACGTAGTGTTGTCCAGTATATGTTTTTTATATAGTCGTACATGGTGAAATATCTGAAAATTTGATATAAGCATGGTCAAAGCTTATTGTATGTACTTGGATCGATTTCTACAATGTTTGTTGCAATAGATCAACATATATTTAGTCTTGCTGAACTGACATTGCAGCCGTATTGGCCCATTGCATCAGGTCCGCCCAGTCTGGATGCTTGTTGGAGACGGATCGTGAAAGACTCTCAATCAAGCGAACTCCGGTGTTCATGCCCCACCATCTCTCGCGAGTGTAGAGCAACAAGGCGCCGTAGTGGATAAAAATCAGTTGTGCCATAGGATCTTCCTGCTTGAAAAGGTCCAGTAGTGTCCCGCCGACTGTCGTTGGCCATCCAATGATTTCACCAAGATAGCTTGGATCTTGGTTCATTTTCCCGAAGATTGCTTCCAAACTTTCGATTCCCACAAGATAGGACCTGTGTCGCTCAGCGTCGATGGAGCTTTGAATACTATTTGCTCTCTCCCGAAGTCTCGCCAGTGCAGTGGCAACTTCATCGGCAGGCTTAGGAGGAGGAGGGGGAGCAGGATAGATAAATGGAGCCCATAATGGCTCGTATTTTGCAAGATGTATCGTGAAATCCTCACGGCTGCGTATGATGAATCGCAACCCTTGAAGAAGCTCAATCAAAATCACCACGCTTTCCTCACGAGAAGACTGCTCGGACGTTGGACAGATATTGGGGAAAGCGAGAGCCAGTATGTTCAGGATAACAGAAAAAGCAAATAAGGCGCATCTGTTCGCATCGGTAACGCAGTTCAACGCGTCCCTGAATCCTTTTAGTGCAGAGGCGTGATAATGCATGGCGATCTCGCTGTAAGCAAGCCTAGAATCTGGACATTTCCAGGCATAATGAAGGGAAGACAGCGCTAAGATGCCGTCAAGAAGAAACTCATGATGAACCGCGTCATCAGGTACAATCTGTTGCCAAACGTGCATATCTTCTTTGCCATGTGACACCGTTTCAGATGTCGACGTGATGTAGTGAGCCATCAGGTGTAATTCCTGGGCTCTTGTGACAGTAATGGGCCTGTGCGTTTTATTCGGTTCTCCAGAAAAGTTTTCACTCCTGCTCTCCGAAATACTGCTTCTGGAAGAGACTTCGTCTGGGGCGTGCGGAGATTTGTAAACGCATTGCACGCGGCGGTTGGTGCAGTTATTGCATGAGGGTGACTCTTCTCCACACTGGGTATCAAAATAAGTTTATGCGACTTAAACTTTTTGTAAAGAAATGGAGTTTTTTTTTTCACTCATGAGGCATGACAGTACCTTGATGTGTCTTTTTTTGCATGGCAAACAGCCAAATCGAGATTTTGAATGTGATTTTCGGAGTGGCATTGCGTGAAGTCGTCTTCAGCGAACATCGGATATGAAAAAGTAGATATCTCTTAAGCTTGATGAGTTTTTCGAGATATAGGCTTGATGCGGAGTGTTGACCATGAAGAGTCTGACCACTTGTAGCTCGAGGTGGTAGCTTTGCTTAGGTAATGGAGCGCTGATACATCACGTGCATCATTGGTTTTACCATGCACACAAGATGCCGTTCATCGTTTGCCAATACAGTGTATTGACTTCTCTGAGAATATTCTGCCACCAACACCTGCAATTATTATTCGGACCTTTTATGTAGAATATCGTAGTATTCTTTTCGAGAATACAAAAAAATTATCTCATGCAGCTGGTGAAATGATCGGCTGACGCAGATTGGATACTCATATTTGTTCCTTGAAGAGGCGTAGAGGGCTATACCTGCTTAGTCGCATAAGCCAACATCCAAACTGTAGGACATTTAGTAAGAGTTGTCTGAGGGGAGGTTGAGGGGTTAAGCCAACATCAATCTACCACTCATTGGTTGTTATTAGCTCCGGTGAAAAGCCTGCATCGTCTGCTGACTTGGACGACCGAACAGTGCCATAATGGGTTCGATAACAAATCGGTATGGGAAGCGAACACAAAGCAGCAGGCCAATGCGAAATATGGACAAGTGACACATAAAGCTTGTGGCGAATCGAAATCATGGGCATCAATCTGACGTAAGCAGGTTGTAACAAACTTACCATCCAAAGAAGGCTGAAGGTATATGAATTGTGTTTCACATTGGCAGGTAAAGCTTGATTCCGAACACACTAAGCTCGCAAAGACCCTGAAATTTGCTGGATCGCTGGTGGTCTGCAAAGAAAGTGATTCTCGTCGCGAATACAGCATACACAGTAGTGTCATCAGCGTCTACGACTGAGATCGCGTATGCTCTCATCGCTGGCTTCTAGTTAAATTTCTTTTTTTGGTTATCAGCTTCCAGATGTTTATTGCATACAGAGTCTTCTGCTGTGAACTAATTTTCCTTCCTACAAAATCGAGTAGTGGAGCTGATTGGGCCAACGTAAGTACGCTTATATTTTGCCGCCGTTGCAACGCAAGATAAACCTTTTCTAGAGCGCATGCTCCATGACAGTATACTTTGCTAGTTGTTTTGAGACAATTAGAGAGCGTATCTAAGGGCCAAACAGTTCCAATATCTCTTAATAATGTTGTGCACGTGATATATATTTTACCGCAAACCAGCAACAGGGGTCTTGGATAAATTTGTGGGTGTCATCACAACACCGGGTCTGCTTCCCTTGCTGGCTTACAAGTCTGGTGCGGAGTGCAACACATTAAGTGCCTGTAGTATAAAGCCAAGTCAGTCGACATCCTCTGAGCCAGATGCCTCGCAACCTCTCGCGATATCAAATACTGCCTGTTGCCTCCATTTTACTTAAGATTATATCTCCGCGACTCGCCGATTTCGTCACCATGCATCTCCTCCAAGTCGCAATTGCAGCTGTCAGCCTTAGTGCCGTCGTACTATCGGCCCCTGCCAACATAATTAGGGATACCGCCATCGTTGAAAGGGGAGATCCAGGATTTTGCGGTCCCAGCAATAACGGAGCGACAGAGTACTCTGGTAAAATCCGCTACAAGTGTAATGGAGCGGGGTTATGGCTGAACAATGGAAAGTGCAATTGATGTCAATGCAGTAAGTATGTAGCAAAGATATTCTGGTTGAGTTTAGTGTTGATAAATGAGGCTGTAAGCGAAGGTCTTCAAGCACATGTACGTGTTGGAACGATAGCTCTTGGGCGGGGCATCGAGGGATGGTCCAAGGTAGCTTTGGTTTAGATGAGAGATGGCAATAACGGCACTTCTTTGCCAGCGATATAAATTACTCGAAATGAGTTCGTTTCAAGTTGGTTTGCCACTTTCAGAAGTCGTTCTTCTCGCGTTGTGATGACGAATTCGAAACTCTTCGCAACTCCCGCTTGCTAAGGGCACATGGTCGGTGCAAGATTATGCACGGTCTGAACGAACGGTCTTTTCGAATACAAGACTAATTTCGACAATAAGATTGGATAGGACACTGTCCTGTTGAAGCGGATCGCGAGACAGAAAGAGATTAGAGGCATTACATAATCCGCACGCACGGACCTCATTCCCCTAAATGACGTAGAAGCTTCGAGAAGTAGCGTGAAGGTTCACGTTGCTTCCTGACACACATGGATGGATAAGCAACTTCACGAACTATCCACAACATTCTAGTATAGTCGTCGGATTGGGAATACCGATATCTTACTCACACTCGTATTGCGTTATGATGTCTATAAATGTGTGGAGTGCGGCTCCTCTACAGCCCATCATCAATTCAAAAGACCAGCATCTCTAGATCTAGCATCTACAATCACCATAGCATCCAACCATCAGCCTTCTTACTACTACCATATCTGAACCAAAAAACTTTCCTTTCAAGTCAATCATACCAGAAATGGCGTTCGTACTTACACCTACATTTGCGCCGGCCTACCAGACGCACCAATACAGCCCTCTCGGCTTCTGCAGCCCAGCAGTACGGTCACCATATGGCTGCCGAGTTGCCCGCCCTCAACCGCGCCGCCCACAGTACTCGCCATACGGCAACTTCTTCAGCCAAGTCAACGACTTGTTGAGCGAGATTGACCGCGAAGCACAACGCCAGGCACAGCTCGAGGCTCATCGCGAGGCACAACGCGAAGCCCACCGCCAAAGGCAACTTCAACGAAAGCGCGCACTCCGCGCCAAGTTCGATGTCAAGCCCATTGAGCAAGGATGGGCAGTAGAGGGAGACATCCAGGGCTTTGGCCCAGAAAACATCTCCATCGAAGTCACCGACGAGCACACCCTGAAGATTGCCGGAAACACTCACTGGCAATTCGAAAAGGCACAGTCTGGGCCAACACTACCTCAGATCGAAGACAAGGCTGAGCCCACATCTGCACCTGCCATCGAGCAACCCGCCGAACAGACTCCTGAAGTATCACATACTGAGGAAGTCGACACCACCTCGGAGGTCGAGAGCACAACAGCCGGCGTCGCAACACCAGACAGCGACACCCAATCCCACAAGTCTTATCAACCCACCGTGGAAGACGACTTTGAAGACCTCGGTGACGAGCTCTCATCTCCATCACGCCCCTTAACTCCTGTTGAGCCAAAGGAGCCAAAAGGCAAAGAAAAAGCCGTCGAAGAGCCTACTGAAACCGCAGTAGCCACGCAGCCACAGCCCGAGGCTCCAGTTCTTGCACCACAACCACAACCCGAACAACAACCCGAACAAGAAGAGCGCATCCACGGATCTTTCACCCGCTCCTTCAGGTTTCCCACTCGCATCGATGTAGCGAACGTGAGCGCAAGCTTCAAGGATGGAGTCTTGAGGGTGCAGGTACCTAGGATGCAAGCACCAACTGTCAGGAGGATTGCTATCCTATAGAACATAGTGGCTATGAAGATTTTCATGGGTATTTTAGCATCGGAATAAGGGAAGCATAAGCATGGAGTTGGAGATTTTCAAAGGGTTATGCAATGATGGGAAATTATAATGCTGGGTTTACTCTACTATGATAGCTATGGAATTGAATTGATATTTTGACATTTTATTACTTTGTCAAGTATTCTTCTCTCGCGGATATAGTGTGCTATGTTATGTTTTATCTGACTCGAAATCTGACTCGAAGGAAGTAATAATACCAGTTGGTATCATGTCTCCATACTTACTATACTTGAGTGCTAACACTGAACTTAACACGGAAGGAACAAAAACGGTTGACTTACTTATTCGAGCGCTTGGAGAGTTGGCATGCTTCCGGTCTGACTGCGATCCATCTCCCATCTACCGTTCTCAGGTAGAGTAGATAATGCCAACCCGCCCGTTCAATCTTCAAACTTTCACCCGTCCCTCGATCCATATCCACAATGACATCTTCGACACCACTTCCATCTATCGTTTGTCTCAAAAAGAAAAAAAAACGGAGCAAGAAGATAACCAAAAAAAAGAACGATAGAAAAAGGGAATCAAGTCCGTTTTTTTTTGCCCAGGTACAAATATTCCCGAACGATAAAAACTATAATACTCGGTGTCAAAGTAAGTTTTTGAAGAAAAAAAATTAACATTTCAAACTCTATCTCTCATCTTATCTCTCCCCCTCCCACCTCCCACCTTCAAACGGTTCGATCCACAAGACAAGAAAAAAAATCAGCCCACTTTCCCTGTTTTCCTGCCGCTACGCCACAGCCGAAATCTTAAATCCACCGGGTACCAGTTTCTGGAATACGGCGTTTGGATCATACTTTCTCGCTGCATCTTTCATTTTCCTTACGTTCTCGGGTCCATAGCTGGATAGCGGGTCTTGCGTTTTGTCTGCATAGTTGAGGTAGAGGTACGGGTTATCAGCGCCGATGCTCTGAGCGTAGGCGCGGATGCGTGAGATGAGATTTGCGCCTGCGGCTTGGAAGAGGGCGTCTTGGTGGGAGCCTTGCCAGGAGATGTAGGGTTGGTATACTGGCACCTTTTATTAATATAATGTGTTTTTCTTCTTCTTCATCTTCGAGAGTTTGGATGTGATTGGAAGGATAAGTAGTTGGGTAGATAAAGAATCGGGAAGTGGAGGGGACAGAACTTACGACACAAGACTTGCTCGCCAAAGCGTTCAAGACCGAGCACGTTCCCGCCTTTGGCAGCGCTCCCGCGCCAGTATGCGGGCGGCAAGGGCTGGTAGAGAACGTAGATGCCCCAATCACCGGTTGCTTTTGCCTTCAATTTGGATAATTCGTCCTTGTAGATTTCATGCGCGGCAGTCATGACTCGGAGGTCGTTGGCAAAGGTAAGTGTGCCGAAGTATACGCTTTGGGATTGGTAGACTTATCAGCGGGATTATCCTTGTACTATACATGGGGAGTTCGGGAGAGTTTCTGATTTGCAAGAATAACTTACCTGTGAGTGGTGGCTCCTGCAAGCTCTGCGGCTAGCGACGACATGTTGCGTAGGCCTGTTGTGTCCGATGTGTTGCCTGGGATCGCAAGGAACTCCTTGTAGGCCGCAGGCCGGGGGACCGGGTCGGCGTAATCGTATGCATTCAGTATCAGGTCCAAGCCTACGGAGCTCTGGTACACTGGCATAACAATGGCCGCACCTTTGTTGTCCTTGTCGATGTTGTTAGAGAAGTTGACGAGTGCTTTGAAGTGGTCTTGGATGTTCGACTGAGGGTAGACGACTAGGCCTCCCCACATGCCTTGGTTCTTGAAAGTGCCGAATGTGATGCTGGTGACGATTCCAAAGTTGTTGTTGCCGCCTTTTAGCACGGTGAATAGATCTGGACGCGTGGTCTTGGATGCAGTTACAATGCTGCCATCGGCTAAAACAACTTGGAACTCGACCGCATTGTCGCAGACCAGACCACGCCCTGGGGAGAAGTAGGATATGCCACCTCCCAGAGTGAGTCCGCCAACACCAACAGTTGATGATCGGCCTCCGGGAAGCATGAGCCCCATTGGTTCCAGGACGCCGTACACATCGTTCCACGTTGCCGCAGGCCCCACTTTGACTGTAGTGCTTGCATTATCATACGTGACGGCGCTAAGGTATTTCAGATCGATGGTTACTCCATCCTGGATATTCGAAGCTCCGACATATGGTGTATGTCCCGCGCTGCGAATAGCAAAGCTGCAAGGCTTACGCGAGCTCGCAGCTGTCAATGCTTTGACTGCAACTGCAACCTCATCCGCACTCTTGGGTTGCACTATGCAGTTGGGTGTGATGGTCTGCTGCTTGACGTCAAAGTATGTCTTCTCGCGTGTCACGTATGCGTCTTGGTTGGGATATAGCAGGCGGTCCTTCAGGGACGTTGCCGCAAGCACATTGCACTGGAAGATCTGTGGTTAGTCTGGCACGTTTTCTGGTACGTTTTGGTTGGAGAATTGACTTACGCAATACTCCGCCTGTGCCAAAGGAATGGCAGCCGCAGCCGCTAATAGAGCAACAGTCATACGAGCCATCATAGCATTCGACGCGAAGAAAGGCAGTGAGCAGAGCCGTGCTCTTGTTAGAGCGCAACCGCCATCTTATATTAATAGTTCAAGAGATGTACTCTCCAATAACTTCTCCACTGTGGACATTTCAGTGGCGCTCCTATTAGCTGTGCGCCATAACCGTTCACCGACCTCCAAAGGACTTCCCGAGAACGTTCAAAGAGGGTTAGAGTCCGTAGGTGGCTTTCGGTCCCTGTAGCGAAGGAATAAGCTAATGTCGGTGGCAATACGGCATGTGCTTTTGCCTGGTTGCCAATAGCAGGTTGCAGGGACTAAGAACGCATAAAGGTCGCACCATACATTCGTCGAGGCTCAGTTAGCGACGCAGCTAGTGACCTATCAGCTAGGGGTGTTGCACCAGATGGCATGATGCGTATACATAAATTAACACAGGGATGCTAGTCAAGAAATGGCGTGTTGACCGGAGCCCAGACAGTATTTACCAGCTTGATGGGTTGCATCGTGCTGGAACAATAGTAGTCCGCGCTACACGTCTGGCATGCTGAGTCCTTGCATGATGTTCTTGCAGTATGATTGGGAGTTCGGGTTACGGTTGTCGATGAAGCCGTCCTATCCATGTCACTATGTGGCACAGTCGCGTAGGTGTTCAACCACGCCATGCCATCGACCAATCAAAGCGCTTCCGTCGGCGCTATTCGTCCATGCGGCTATTGACCAATCTCTTACCGATTTGGTAGTTACAGCGATCATCCGAGACTCTTAAACCGGCCTGCAATATGCCAGGAATATTCCTGGAATGTTCCTTCCCTCGGAGAAATGACAATGCAGAAGGGGCCGCCCGGGTTTCGTTCTATAGAGCAGAGAGTAAGTAGTCGCAGAACTGAATATGAACATCTTGCTGGTTGAGAACTCCTCTGCATCTTCGAGGCTCCTTTCGCATACACGATGGATATGAACAAGCCCTTGTTTCCAGCTCCGCCTGGCTATGTTGTCAACCTTTCCGACCCCCAGAGGACAGGCGAGGCGGCAAATCTATGGGTGGGAGCAGTCGGAATGAGTATTGCTGCCTTTTTCATGGCCGTTCGTATCTATACAAAGACAAGATTTGCAAAACGCTTTTCTGCAGATGATAGTGAGTTATTGTGACCTCTTCGAACTTTCCATAGGTGGTGTAATCGTGGTCCAAAGTGTCTAACAGATTGTGTAGTGGCTTTGATTGTGGCTTGGGTAAGTCTGTCCATGAATTATGATCGCCAAAGCGCCTAGATCATATGTTAATGAGCGCATGAACAGTTTTTCTCAGTTGCAATCCAGATGATTATACTCGGTATGTTTCCAAGACTATGTTCGCATTTGCGTAAGCTAACTGCCGTCCAGTGCAGTATCGGGGAGGAACACTCGGTGTTCACATTTGGGAACTGAGCGGGAACCGCGTCAATTTTAGTCTGAATGTGAGTATTTCTGAGCCAGTGAAATACCTTCTTTACGCTGAATCTCATGCAGTTGGTCAACGTCGCTAGCATCCTCTACTGCCCCTTTCTGGCGAGCGCAAAGCTGTCTCTTCTGTTGCTATATCTTCGATTATCGCCCCTGCGCTGGTTCCGAATCTGTGTGTATGGCGGAATGTTCATAGTCATCGGGTACAGCATTGCACTCCTCTTTCCGCTTATCTTCGCCTGTACACCTTTTAAGAGAAATTGGGACATTACGATCACAGAGGGGAGTTGTATCAATCGCACACCACTCTACATGGCAACTGCCGTGTTGAACATGGTGACAGATATTTTACTACTCATTTTGCCCATACCCATGGTTGTTAAGCTACAGGTTCCAAGGGCGCAGAAAGCGGGCTTGTTGTGTATTTTCGGCGTCGGATCGCTGTAAGTGATGCGAGAACTCACTCAAAGAGATGACAGACTTACATAGAATAGGACTTGTATTACCAGCGGAGTGCGCCTTGCCCTCTTATTCCCGATGCTCACCACCATCGACCAGACGTGGGCTATTGTCATGCCCGGGATATGGATGTGAGTAGGCTCCGAAGTTGACCTCGTATTTTGGAATACGAACTGACGATTGAGAATAGTCTCATCGAAGCCAACCTTATCATCATAACTGGTTGTCTGCCGGCAATGCGTCTATTTTTACGCCATGTCGCACCACGTGTGATTGGAGAATCGTCATTCAACAGCCGTAAGCAAACTCGAGGATACACAACCGACTCACATGGTGCCCATTCAGAACTTCAAACAATAGGCTCGAAACACATGAACAGGGCATACAATCAGATGGAAGATGATGGCGTCAGTGTTGGCAGTGATGAAAGAGCAGCTGCAGGATGGCAGGGTGATGGATCGTCCGAGCGCAGTATCGTTGCTTCGCCGTCAGGTATCACGAAAACCCAAAGTTTCGCAGTCAACAGCGAAATTTGTGACAATGGTGGCA